TTTTTGTTTTGGTTTGGTTTCTTTTCTTGTTTTTGTTTTTGTTTTTGTTTTGGGAGAATAAGCAGAAAATTATGGTATAGTATTCAATTTTATAAAAATTTATTAACTTTATTCAATTACTGCTATTAATACCTTGACTTCCATTGTCGCTGAAATGTAATATGAAATAAACAAGAGTTATCACCCCAATGGTTTGAGGACCTGTATTTTAACATAGTCTCTAACTTTAAAAAACATCATAAAATAATGGCATACTAAAAACATAGCTAAGTTATACAATGGGAATACAGTTAAGGCATAAAAGGCTTTCTTTGATCTACATCAGGAGCTCTTCATTGAAATATGAAATTTCTCAGGCTAAAACTTATATAGCCAAAAAATTATAAAACAATTATATACAGTTAAGGCATAAAAGGCTTTCTTTGATCTACATCAGGAGCTACTTCACTGAAATATGAAATTTCTCACGCTAAAACTTGTATAGCCAAAATTGATAAAACCATATTTACAATTAATTATCCTTAGGAGAATGTTCTCAGAAAAGTGCATGAACTTTTTTCAAGTTTACTATTAAACCTTTTGTATCTTTTCCAAAGACTAACTGGGGGATGACTTTATTAATTATTTGAAAGTCACACAGCTGATGACAATTCCAAAGCTCATTGTTTCAGCTTTTTTAAACTGTTTTTTAAAAATCTAGTTAAATTTTTTCCCCCTAATTGAAATGTCAGAAAGTCTTTAAGTAAGTTCATTAGACTTTCAGAATTTCCTCTATGGTCATAACAGTCAGGCAAAACTGACCTCACATCACATAAAGTAACATTAAGTTTGGAATATAGTTACAAAGCTTTTGGAACATTTGTAGAATATAAGACTTCGTAAGAAACCTCCAGTCCAGAGTTAATAATATAAAAACAATTTCTGAAATTCAAGTAGTTTGTCTTATTTATTATTTATTTATTTATTATTTTGATCAGTATAGAAGTCATACTGGTTGGGATTATTTATTTAACAATCACAAACAGCCTCAGAATAGGTCTTTTAGTAAAATAATTGTCTTAAGTGAAACTGCCTTTCTGTAAGAACTGTTTTCATGGGGCAGAATCCCTTTATGACTGAAGCAGGGTTGTGCTTTACAGAGAGCTGAGATGTCCTGACAGAGCAGTCGCCACCCTGCCTCCATGGGCTGTACTTCTGCAGAATGATAATTGGTTTCTTGGAAGCAAGGAATTAATTGCAGATAAAGCCTGTGTGTTTCTTCACAACAAAACTGCCTATCCATTAGTAAATCAATGAAAATTTTGCTGTACTGAAACCAAAGTGCAGCTAAGAAAACATTCTCAGTCCTTACTTTCATGTGTTTCTAATTTTCTTTTAGAATTTCTGTTTGCATTTGTGCAAGTGTGCGTGCTTTTCTTTAGTCCTAGCTGAAGGGTGAGTTTTGGAGCAAAGCCCAAGGAAAAACCTTTTGGCTATTTTTAAAAAAATTAAAAGCATATTTTAAGTGTTTTATGTAATTTGTTAAATAAATTGTTTGAAAATATTGCTATATAATACCACTATTGAAAACAAAATATTCCTTTATACATTATACTGCAGGGTTTAGGCAAGTGATTCAGAGTGCAGAAAAAAAAGCCAGGTATTCTTGAGTACTGATGCTACCACTGTATGTTTTTTTCTGATGGGAAAATTGCCCAAGTAAACTCACATTGCTTTAGTTTCCCCAGCTGTATAATGTGAATAATACTTACCATCCTACAGGAATGTGTGGAATTTAATATTTATGCATCACTTTGAAGTTCATCTCTAAATCAATTCTGTAACCCCAACTCCAAAATGCATGGTTGGTAGAAGACAGTGAGACCCACCAATATTTTCTGGAAGGACTGTATTTTTCTCTACCTATAAATACTGTGTTTGAGCTGGATGTGTTGTCTTTCTATATCATCAAGCCTGATGGAGCAATTGGGTATAATGTGATGACTAACAGAGTTCTCATGAGAACAGGGTAGACACTGATGTGCAATGAGAGAGAAAAACTGAAGCATTCTCAAGGCACTCTCTGCTTGGCTGAGAATGTTAAAAAGAAACCATGACCCGTGAGTTAAATCCAGCAAAAAAATACTTTCTTCATCTGTATAACATCGAGGTTGCCAGGCAGCTCAAAATTCACTTCTGCAAAGCTCAGATGTGGGAGTCCCCCAGAAAAAGTGGAATTCTGGCTGCCTGCAGAGTTCGCCCACCTTGGGAACAAGTCTGAAGAAAGGAAGGTGAGTTTTTTTAGGTGAGTTTTTTTGAGAGGAGTCCCTTCCATTGTATGTACAACCAGGGAGAAATGTCCTGGCTGACAATCCTCACAGCAGATTTCCAACTTGTCACCAAGGAAATGAGCTTCTTCCCAAGTAGGTCTGCTTGCAGCAACTTTATTACATCTATCTAGACACCATTAATTCTTTATAGTCAAATTTTCTCAACCTGCAACGCTTGATAGCAGGGATGCAATTTCTGTACTGCTAATTGTATAAATACATTCTAGGAAAAGAGCAGTCCTGCAGCTTTTTGATACTCGTAATTACTTCTTTCCTACAGTTCCAGAGAAGCAAATGCCATCCTGGAGAAAATGAGCATCTAATTACTTTGTAGAGAGCACCTCTCACTGTTGTATCTGAAGTGTAGCTTTCACAGTGTTCAAAAATCTTACTGTTATTAAATAATTATCCAGTATCCTGATGAAATGAGAAGTCTTCAATTTACAGGTGAGGAGCTGGATCTCAAGAATAAAATCCTTAATACAACAAATGGCTCGAGCTTGTTATTGATCCCCAGTATGCTAAGCTGGCCCATTGATGTGTGCCTGAAGACAGATGCCTTTTTGGCCAGTCAAGGATATGGTGAAATCTCAAAATTTTCCATCTATTAAAATGCTACACTTCCCTTTCAGTATAGGATATCTTTTACTGCTGGAGTTTTGGAAGTTGGAAAAAAAGTGCAAACACATTGTAAAGGAACAGTTATATATATTTTCCCCTGGAATAATGTGATAGCAACTTTCCTGCACTCTTTAAAACAAATGGAAAAACAGAGAGAAACTGGAAAAAGCTTCTGTGGAAAGGTTGGTGTTGCCTGTGTGTTTGGAGGACAATTCATTGTCACTATTGTAGAGCTGAAAACCTATTGCATGACTTGCTGTGAAGCAACTGACACAAGCTGTAGTATACATTAGAATTGAGTGTATTTTGAGTCAATATTCAGGCTGTAAATGTATGAAAGTACTGAAAAATACATAGATCACACAAAACATGAGTTGGAAAAGATTCACTACTCAAATTTCAGTTTTTGCAAAATACCATTTTATGGCATTTTTTTGGATACTATATCCACTGAATGAAATCCAGGCCACGTTGGATGCAAAGGCAATGCTAAGTTTTTGGCAGGACCTGGATTTTATCCAATATGTACTGTATTTCAGTATAGAATGATCAATATTACAAGTTAATTACCTAAATTCGGTCAGACTGACCGTGTCTCATGTCTCCCAAACAATAAATTATTTAGATGGTATGCTGCTAAAAAGATCAAGGTGCTGTACTATGGTAGATGTTCTAATAATCAGAACCTATAAGCTGTGGAAAGACTCAGAATAGATAATAAATGTAAAGCTAGGAATTAATAGGTCACTATACCTGACCTAATTTGTTTAAAAAATCCAAATAATAACATAAAACCTGTCAGAAATCAGGTTTTATGTTGTTAACAGGTAACTTACCAGGGTAACTTCATTGGCTCTTTTGATGTATTTGTTGAATAAAGTATTGGCTAACAGACTTTCTCCACTGTTATTACTATCTACAGGACATCAATACTCTTGTACTATGCTCACAAGATAATTATTGCAATGAGGTGATGTGCTTGCTCAGGTAACAAAGCAGAATATGAAGGGGTAGATCTGATCTTCAAGTGGTAGTATAATGTAAACAGTATAATGTAAAATGGTATAACGAGTTCCTTGCTTTCGAAGAGAATGAAATAAATGAACTGTGAGTTCATAGTCCCACACTGGCACACAATCCCCGCATACCTTTGTTATGAGAATCCGTGCCCTTCACATAAAAACGTCCTAAACAAACCCGTATTAGCTATCTAAGCCAACTCTCGCCAGTTTAAAAATTGAGAATGGTTCCTTTAAACTAGAACTTTATGAGACTTTTCCTTCTTGTACTTCGCACGGAAAAAAATCGCAGGCAGAGGTGTACTGCTGCCTTCACCAAACCGCGTTGTCCCGCAGCGACGATGAAGCCACGCGGCGTTCCGCTGCCCTCCCGGGCTCCGCGCTGGCCCCGGAGCCGCTGCCGGGCGAGGCACCGGGCCGGGGCCGCNCCCCCGCTCGCAGGGCGCGCACGGCGATGGCGCTGGACCGGCTCCAGCCGCGCGGGACGGCGCCCCTGCTCCGCCGCGCGGAGTCGCGGCGCTGGGGCGCTTGGCCGACGGCGCCCGTTTGCGGGAGGTAGGAGAAAGCTCTTCCAGCGGCTCCAGCTGGCAGCTCGCAGCGGCGGGACGGGACCCGGGGCGCGCTCTCCGGCTCCGGGACTCCCCTCAGCGGGAGCCGCCTGGTCCTTCAGGAGCACACGGGGCCGGGGCCAGCGGTTCCCGCTGCCGCACTTGCGGAGTGCTCCACTGTGCCGGTAGGAGCGCGGGGCTGCCCAGGGCAGGACAAGGAGGAGCTGCCGCATCCCATCTGCCTGGCGTGCAGGGGATGATCCTAGCGACCGTCCCGAGGGCAGCCATCCCTTGGGAGAAACTCGCTCTCCACCACCGGGGAGGGGCGGTCCCGGGGCAACCTTCCCGGGCGGCCCCGCGCCCTCTGTCCGCGGCTCGACTGAGCCGCCGGCGCTGCCCCGCGGCCCCTCCCCAGCTCTCCCCGTCCCTCCCGGGCCCGGCGGGGCGGTGCGGGCCAGCAGCCCCCGCCCCCGGCCCGCCGGGAAAGGCGCCTCGCTCGCTCCGCCGCTCCGGGCAGCGGCGGCTGTGGAGCCCTGGCGAGGCCGGGGCGGCCCCGTCCCGCAGAGCGCTCCGCCGCCGCAGCCCCGCCGCCGCCGCTGGAGTCACCGCCGTCCCGAGGAGGAGGACGAGATCCCGGGGGGACGCTGAAAGGTGCGTCCCCTGCACACCCCCGCCCGCTCTCACGGGCTCTTTCCCTGACTCCCGAGCGTGGTTGGTTCTCTGGGGCCGCGTCCCGGCCCCCAGGGCTCTCCTGGCCCCGGGGGGTTGCCGAGGGCCGTGCCCGGGGGCGGGCGGGGGCTCCGCTTTCGGCCATGTTCCGCAGCCCCCGCTGCCCGCGCCCTGCCCGCTTGACCTTCGCCTTACGGGTTCTCCCTCTTCCTGCGGCCGGGTTCAAGAAAACCCCAAATGCAAATGAAAATTGGGGTCGGCTGCCCTTATCCCACATGCTAGAAAATGTTCTAACTTCATCCCTCGCTTTCTCTCTTGCACTGCGATTGTACAATTAGTTGTAATTTTTACGCTAAAGTCTGGCAAAATGTAGCCCCAGATTGGTGCAGCACATGGGAGATGTGGCGTTGGAAGGAGCCTGTGGCTGTCAGCGGCAGGGGTGCTGTCTCTGTCCCCCCCTTAGTGAGTCTCTGCTCTTTGGGGGTGCTGCAGGCCCTGACACCCAGGCGTGAAGGGGCAATGCATTCCTCCCAGCTCCAGACTTCTCTTTGCCCCACTTGCTGAAGTGTTGTTGAGTTAGAAAGACTCAAAGTCTGCAAACACTTACAGAAGTGGTTTCACTGAAGTGTTTGTAGGATCAGGACCAAAGTGTCTAGGTGTGATGCTTGTCTGTTCTGCTGCACCCTCTTGGGATGCCACCAGCACAGGTGATAAAGGGAAGAGCCTATACAGGTGACTGTGGACTGGGCTTCTTCTGATAAAGGAAATTAAAGAGCTGGATTAGGACTGGTAGAAAAATGCCTGAAAGAATAGCTGTACTTCAAGGAACAGTAAAATGTTTTGTTTCATAGTGAAGCATTTGTGTAAGGAGGAGAACTGGCCTTCTTGTTGTATTTATTATGCTAAAAGTTTGATAAAAAGGTTTTCCAAATATTTCCGTTCTCTACGTTTGTATAACAAAAGTTTGTTAAATATTTCCATCCTTTACGTTTGTATATTTGAAAGAAGATCAGAGAACCTGCCAATTATGAAGCAGCCTCTTAGTAATCTTTGCAGAGCAGTGACTGTTATGTAGTTTAAGAAGTCATGTTTTTCCAGCTACAAATAATCATCTTTGATCTGTGCTATCACATCCCTTAAAAAGTCAATGGCAAACAACCAATGTTTGTGATCATTACAAAAGCACCGCGACAAATATGTGAGCAGTGAAACATACAAGGTGAAAACCAGAAACAGACACTGTTTTGTGTAGTAGGAAGTGCTCAGGAGAAATTCCCAAGACATAATGGACGTGTATGCCCATCTGCATAAATTTGCAGAGGATTTCTAAAAGTCTTGCTTTCTTAGTCATCTAAATAGAACTCATTCTTGCCATATTGAGGTAGTAATCTCAGATACTATAATGAGTTCATTTGTGTTTTCATACATGGTAAAAAGTTTGTTATTAAGACTTTGTGACTGTAGATGAGGCAGTGCAGTTCCTGTCCTCTCAGTTAACATTAATTTAATGTGATGCATTTTATGCAATAAAAATGTGATGTTCAAACTAGAGTTCCAAGACATTAAGAAGGAAAAGAAATACGACAAGGTAAAGCTTTCAGATCAAGAAACATGAAAATCCTACTGCAAAATAAAGAATTTCACAAAACTGTGTTAACTGGAGATCACAGAGCAAGTTTGTGGAGATGATAAGGTGATTTGGGAGATCTGTAATATGAGAAAAAGAAATTCTCTGTATTTAGGTTATCCAAAAGAATGTAATGAAACAAGCTCTGTTTGTAAGTATCCATAGAAGTACTTCTTTTATCAAAAGGCTGTTTTATTTAAGAGAAATATGGATGTTAAGATCCACTAGTGACTAGAACCTGCATGGAAATTGAACATAGGAGCAAGGTGTATATTGAAAAGTGACAGCTGTGATTGTTCATGAAAGACTGTAGATTTATAACCACTGGAAACATTTTGCTTAAGTTAGCAGTTCTTTCTTCTTTTTTGGAGAAAAGTGGCTATAATTTAGCAATGGTTCTTGGATTTGAAATGAGAATTAGTTAAAGGAAAGCTTCAGTTATTAAGGAGGCAAAAAGTAATTAATCTATAATTTCATTAGAAGGCCATGATTTGCATAGGGATTTTTTTTATTAAACATTAAACTAAGGTGTTTTTTTTTAGTTATCATCTTAATTTATGTGTGTATTTACAAGAGCATTTCTTTAGGAGTGTTTTGTTTTTAAAATACTGATGACCACACTTCAGAACGCGGGTTGTCATTTTGTTTCCTGTTTCTACAGCACTTAGTACAAAACAGGTTTTGGGTTGTGACTGACTCTTATATTTTGTAAATGACAATGATATGTGTTACTAGAAATAATTCACATCTTTGTTTTGTTTTGTTTTATATGCTTCTTGAAAATACCAGTAACTGAAAGGTTGGAACGACTCATGCAGCTCCAGCGTGGACAGACTTACTCTCATGCCTGTTCACAATGCAGCCATTGATGGTTTCATTGAGCAGTGGCTATCATTTGATTGTGCAGACAGCAGGTTAACAGCTGTCTGTACCTTTAATATGCAGTCTGATTCATTTGTAAGTAACGCTTTTCATCATGTCTCTGTTTTAGAAAGCTGTTAGCATGCTAGCATTAAATCCATGTTTTCGTTAATTTTGTCCCTTCCTGAGTCTTCTTAATCATTTAAAAGAGGTGTTGCTCATGTACTTGAGGACCTACATGACTGAGTACGTATTATGTGAGAGCAGTGCAGCTTACTCTGCATACTGCTTTATTTGTCTTGGCAAAGCTATATATGTATATATATATATATATATATATATATGCGCTTGTGGGTAGGGTTTTCCATAGTCATGGACCTGCCAGATATTGGTCATATTTCACCCCTTGATTTTTTTAAGCAAAACATCTATCTGCTGAAACAAGACTTGTCTTTAAGAGCTGAGGATAAAGTGTTGACAGACTTTCTATGGATTTCTTATATTGGGAGGTCTCTAATATTTTTATTCCGTTTGAAGGCACAGAATTTTGGTTTTACTTGAAACAAAGAAGTTAATTTGTAAGTATGTCAATGTGGGATCGAAGTCTCGTCCTTTGGTTTCACATACTCTCTCATGCTGACATCTCTGTGCAAGACAATTAATGTCACTGATTTTAAACGAGTCCATCCACAGTACTTTCTTCTTAACTGCCCAGTCATTCATAAATAATTCAACATGTTCAAGCAAGAGCTGGATGTGGCAGCACTTACTGAAACCTGGTAACAAGAGCTGAGAGGAACGAGCTCAACTCCCCAACAGAATTATCCTTCTTCCAGGGCCCGCTACATTGCTCCAATATACCAGGTGTCAGTGATGGTCCCACAGGTAATACCAGCTCTTTCTGTAAATGATTTAGAGCAGCAGGGACATGAGTCCTGCATTCTTTACATCTGAAACTTGTGTGTACTTGGCTTAGCATTGGGGGTAGGGACAGTGCAGGCTGGAGTCCTTTACAAGGAAGGACTCCTTCTGTGGGGCAGTACATTCTGTGGGGCAGTACAGATACTGTGACATTTTACAGTAGTCTGAGGCATATCATAATGTTTTAAATAGGCTGTCCACTGTGGGATACTTTTTATTCTACATTGCTATCAGTAAGTAATATTTAATAACTTGTTACAACATTTTCAGTGGTACCTCCTCATTAAAATAAAATTGAGTATACTATTGTATTTGTCAGTTGTAACGTTTCATAAGTAATTAAAAACTTAAATGCTCAGGCCTTTTCAGTGTTCTTTATGTTACTTATTTCAGTGTTTGAAATGAGGCGCACAAAAGTAGAAACACTGAGAGCAAAGTTGAAGCTACAATTTGAAAATATTTTTGGGGTAATGGTTTTATTCTGTTAGTATGCACAAGTGCTGCATAACTTGCATCTAATAATAGTGTGTTTTCTTAAACAGATGACTCTCCAGTTGCGTTGACCTTGCCTTGTGTAGTAGGACCTTGCTGTCTGCTGTTTCAGACAATGCTCTGATGTGAGATCTCTCCTCCCACAGTATTTTTCTCTGTCTGTGCTACAGCATACAGCAAGAATGCTGCTGCAGTGATCTTTGGTATTTGAGGTTTTTGTTACACTGCATCTTCTTTCAAACATTTTCATAATGCATTCCTTTACTCCAAGTACAAAACTCTGTTGCTTGGATTAGGTTAATTTCTTTCTGTAGTGGTACAAATACCTTTCAGCAGTGTTTTGGGGAAAACCAACTTGGTTTCCCTTTGGAATTTACCAAGATAAAAAGGGATCATACCAGACCAGCTACTGCTTTGTGCGCTACAAAGTTCCCATCAAAGGATAACCTGTAGATTTCTTCTTGAGGAATTTCTTGATGTGAATGCCTCCTTTTTAATTCCTTTAGGGTTTTGAATTTTTAGCTATGTACCAAATTGCAAGGGGAAAAGAAAACCCATGCTGTAATATCCGGGCTGGTTTGCGTTTTGGAGATGGTATTCTGCTTCTATTCTAATTCTAGGTAATTTTCATACTGCAACATTTTTCAAAGATGTATTTTCAACCAGTTAGCTATTGTTCAATGTGGACAAATATGTTAAAATGCATTTATATCAGATTGTTGCCCAATGGTGGGCAATTTCTAATAATTGGTTAGTATTTTTCTAACTTTTTCTAGACAGTCACACTTCCAGTGACTTTCAAGTGTGTCAGATGTTCTGTGAGTACATGCATTGTTTCTACTGAAAGCAGAGGGAAAATAACCTCATTGCAGTTATTTCTTGTGAAAGCTTTTAAGTTTCTGATCACTCAGTCTGTACCCATTTTAGTTCTTCTTATGGGAAGAAGTAAACATAGAGGAATATCTCTCCAAGGCTGAAAGCCCCTGGATTTCTGACTGCAGGAGGGGCTGGCAAACAGGCTGAGTCCCCGCTTTGTTCTGGAGTTCACATTCACTCCTTAGCTGTGCCACAGCCCATGCCT